GCGGCAGGAGGTGCAGGTGGGGGCCAGAGCTGGGGCAGCAGGGGGTGTGGGCGGGGGAGAGTCCAGCACTGGGGCAACACAGGGGTGCGGGGGGAGCCCAGGGCCGGGGTGGGGGGCGGCAAAAAACCTAGAGGTGGCTCTGTCCCTACCATTTACAACAAGCTGCATCATGAGGTTTCAGTTTCACACTCCTTTCCCCTCCCTTTCCTGTTAATTGCGGCCAAGGGAATGCTAGGAAATGTAGTTCTTTCCCTGCTCCAGGGCTGGCTCTATAGGCAGGGAGCTAACCAAGGAACTACAGCTCCCAGGGCTCCCTGTTGGTTCTCGGCTCCCATGCTGGAGTCTTGCGCCCCTGCAAATTTGCCGCCCCAAGCAGCTGCTTGCTTTGCTGGTGCCTAGAGCCGGCCCTGCCCGTGCCTCCCTTGGGAGGCCTGCCCCATCATTTGAGAACCGCTGCTCTAGTCACAAAGGCCCAGCTTGTGCCACCTTAACTCACATGGGACCAGATTTGACCTCAGTTAAACTGGTGTAAATCAAGAGCGACTTCACTGCAGTTAGAAGAACAGGAGTACTTGTGGCACCTTAGAGACTAACAAATTTATTAGAGCATAAGCTTTCGTGGACTACAGCCCACTTCGTACGAGTTTTTTCATGAGGTTGATGGATTTCCACTCCATACGGCTAAATGCAGTGCCTTGCATAATGACAGGTTTCAGAGTAGCAGCCGTGTTAGTCTGTATCCGCAAAAAGAAGAACAGGAGTACTTGTGGCACCTTAGAGACTAACAAATTTATTAGAGCATAAGCTTTCGTGGACTCTGAAACCGTTCACTGCAGTTGTTCTTGATTGTCCCCAGTGTAACTGGTCAGGATCTGGGCCGTAGAGTAGTACCTTATTGCTCAAGTAGTCATATTGGGCCTGATTCTCCTCTGTTTTTACACTGGCATCATGCCAATGATTCCAGTAGAGTTATTCATGATTTACCTCCATGTGAGAAGATAATCAGGGCTACAGATGTCAACGAGTTACCCAGGTGTGAGGTGCTACTCAAGGCAAATAAGGGTGCCGCTCGCTGGCCCCAAAGGAAAAGGCTATAGGACCCAGTTCCCCACTATCTTGCCCTTTGTGATGCGCTGTGCAAAGTGAGTGCATTTGTGGGAACATTTTACACTCTCTCTTAGCACAAAGGGCCTGGCATTGGGCTCACGTGGCTGGAAAAGTGAAAAGCCACATTTTAAGTATATATAAAGATTAAGGTGCTTTTCTTGGCTAGATGTTAGCCAGAGAGGAAAAGAATTCTCTTTTGGCCAACAAACTTAACGCCACGGTGTTGAAAGTGAGAGACCGGAGACATTAGCACCCTTTGTTGTCTAATTTGTAAATAGTCATGTTGGTCTGTTGTTCGCGCCCAATATTGTAAAGCTTGACCCTTGGGGTCGTATGTGTAACTTGTTAACCCTGGAAATGTAAGGGGAAGAAGAAAAGGGAAAGATAAGGAGCAAAATGGTATTTGCAGTGCATTGCCTCACTTGTTTAGCGTGCTGAGCAATAATGTAAGAGAGCTGACAAAGACCTTAAACCTAAAACAAGATCAAAATGGGAAATTAAAACAGCAAGTGGGCAACTGGAATAGCCCTCTTGCCTACAGTGTGCAAGAAACTAAGGGAAGACTAGGAGATTGTCAGGAGAGATGCAGCCAGCAAGAGGGAGGAAAATTAGGCTAGCAAAGACAAGCTAAATAGCTTAGAAAATGAGTTGCCCAAAACCAGTGCAGAAAAAAATAACAATTGCTGAGTAATTTGCATGTGTGTGTGTGTGTGTGTGTGTGAGAGAGAGAGAGAGAGAGAATATGCAAAGATGAGCATGTAGGAAGAAAAAATGTGTGCATATGTCTGTCTGTCTGTCTGTCCATCACCCCTCTTAATTGATACCAAGCCGCACCCTCCACACCACATACCCCGCCTCTATACCAGAGTAGCCCAGAGGTGGAACTCAGTAGTCCATTCTCCAGTGAGAGTGTGTCAGTGTCACACCCCTGGGAGCGCATGCTGCTGGGGAGCAGCCCTCAAAGGGTGAAATAATCTCACATAAAGCACAAAGCGATCAATGGAAATAAAACAGCCTGGACTTGGTTCAGCCCTAAGATCCAGAGGGGGCATTTACTGTTACTGTTGGTTTACGTATCTTGTTACAAATACCACAGTGTGGAAAATGAACTGTCTGAATGGTTTTACTGGTCCTGTATGGGTAGGGGAGTGGTTAGAGTTTGGCCATTATGTTATATCGATCCTGTTAAAAAGGAAGTATCTATTTAGCTACCTCTTTACAGTATGCAAGGTGGTTTCTAGAAGGGAGAGAAGTGGGTGGAGTGGAGAAAGACTGATTTGCTACTTGTATTCTATGATACACAATTGCACAGAGCTTCTCTGCTTGTGCCAGTATATTTTGGGGCCAGACCAAATCTTGAGACTGGAGATAGGAAGGGAGAGAGAGCAGACAAATAGGGCTGGTTGGAAAATTTTTGTAGAAAGAATTTTCTGTCAGAAAATGCCCATTTCAACAAAACTGAAATGTTTTGTGAAATTGCATCAATTCTGATGAAATTTCATTTAAAAAAACCCAGAAAATAGTTTGAACATGTCCCATTTTGAAATTTTCTGATGAAAAATTTAGATTTTTCATTTTGAAATTACTTTTTATTTGGACATTTACTTTATTTGATGTGTTTTAGAGGGTTGGAATCAAAAAGTGTTTTGAATTTATTGAAATGAAATGTTTGGATTGACTCAAAGTGACTTTTTTTTCATTCTTTCATTTTATGAAAAAATTCAAAATTTTGGCTCTTTGTCCCAAATCGGGATAAAAGGATTTTGAAATCTTGACATTTTTCACAGGATGGGAGAGTCTGTTTCTGGACCAGCTCTATGGACAAAGGAAGAGCGGGAAACAGAAAGAAAGAGACAGATCTCTTTAAACTGAAAGAAAATTGTAATGCTCTCCCTGACTGTAGAGTGTATGCTGGGAAATCCTGTGGTGTGATCTTTATGTACTGCCCAGCGGAAGGTACCTTCATGTGGGGAAGATGCAGATTAACAGGCTTGGAATGTATTGGAGGAGAAGCAGCATCTGATGTTGTCTGTATCCAGATGGGCAGCATGACCTTTAGAATGAGAGAGGTTTCATAAGATGGTCCCTGCACTCCTGCTACATATGGCCCTTGCCGTCTCTTCAAGTTTTCTGGTCAGGAATCTCACCTTAATCACTGTCTTTGGGTTGGGGCTTTTTAGGTAGCTCCTGCCTCAGCATGGCTGCTCCCCCACCTGCAGAACTCGAGCAGAGCCTTAACGACCATCTCTCCTCTTCTTTTGAGCCCACGCTGGACCTCAAGGCAGACAAAGCTACATTACTTCCAGGTGAGAACATTTGCTAGTTGGGTCCCACATGCCATGCGGGGTGGGCAAATGGGGTCAAATGCAGGCTCTTTGCAGCATCTCAGGGTCTCGTTGCCACAAGCAGAACAATTAATTCACTTGGCATCACATTGGCCGCCTTGCTTAGCAGCACCACTGACACAGACCTGGGTTTTATACATCATGCAATTAGCAGGTAGGAATATGATTATTCCTGTTGTGACAGTACTTAAAAGCCTTAACCAGAGTCAGGGCTCTGCTGTGCTAGATGCTGTACAAATCTATAGCTCTTGCCTCCAAGCTCAAAGCCTATTGAGCTGAGGCGGAGAGAGGAAGTAGAACTGTTTCCATTTTATAGGTGAGGAGCTGCAGCACGGAGCGATTAAAGGGCAAGTTTTTAAAGGGATTTAGGTGCCTAAATTCCCAGCCCTAAGTCACAGGGGGTCTGGTGCGCTGGGAATTGAACCCAGCTGTTGTAAGTTCTAGTCCAAACTCTTAACCAAGAGATCATCCTTCTGTCCCATGATGGTCTAAGATTCCAGAGGACTCTTACTGAGCTAAGAGTGTCACTTCATCAGGTCCAAATCCCAACATTGTTACTCAGCAAAACTCCCATGGACCTTCTAGTGAGAGCTTTGCTCGAATAAAGGATGACTAAGAGGTGAGTCAGTCAGACTCTGTGGTCTTTTTCCTCTATCACCCCACAGGCGGTAACAGCGAGAAAGCCACAAAGCCCTTCTGGCTCCAGCACTCCAATGAGAGGAAAACTTTTACCATAAAAGGTTCCCTTTCCCACTGCCAACAGCATGGATTCATGTACAATACACTCTGTTAAGCCTTTCACTAGTGCTGGCTGATGCACCCTTTGAGTGATGGTGGATTTTAGCTGTGGTATATGAAGCACTTATGTTGCACTTCAGGGAAGATGTAACTGACCAAAGTTCAGCTCGGGAGTTGTAGTTTTCCAGTCCATGTCTGACGTGTTGTACAGCACTCAAGTGATTAATAGAACATCTTCGATGTCCCTTGGCTCCAGAGTTTTCCAAACAGCATAAAAAAAATTTTTAGGGAGGCTCTGGACACATCAATAGCTGAGGAGTTGTCTACACAGGGGACTTAGTAAGAAATAAGCTAGGCTGTGTATTTAAACACACTAACTACTCTGCACTAACTCCCTATGTGGACACTCCTGCTGCTCACTAAAAGCACCCTCTGGTGGTTTAGCTTAATGCACTTCTAAAGTGCATAGTAAGTGTCCACCTGGGGAGGTAATGAAGCGTAGCTAATGCATACTAGCTACTCCGGGCTACTTCCCCATGTAGACAAACCCTGAAAGAACCCTGATCCAGATTCTCAGCTGATGTAAATTGGCATAAAAGCTGTTGCCTTCAATGGAGCTACCCTGATTTATACCACTTGATGTCCTACCCCTGTGCCCAGTAGGTCAGGTCAGTTACGTGACCTAGTTTAGTTGCCCACAGATATCATATAGTGACCACACTTATTTCCTGTTCTATGTGTAGGGGAGCTATGAGGTCTCTCACATGGTCATTACATATTAACTAATGCTAAATACTGATCTTGTAATGGCAACCACTGTATTTTAAAATTGATAACTGTAGATGGAGAATAACATCTGGATTCTAAGGGTGAAAGCCTGACTCCATTGTAGTCAATGGAAGAACTTCTATGTACTATATATGGACCAGGATTTCACTCTAAATATCTAATTCTATATCTAATATCTGTATGTATATAATTGTTGTAATATAGCTCTCTCTAGAATATATCTAGATCTCCATCTAGATTCTCTCCCTCTAATCTCCTTCTCTCTATCTATTGAAATATATCTATATCTATTCGTAGATATTTAAAATATATCAATACCCCTCTATATGTTTAAATTTAATCATACTATTCCTGATTTAAAATGGCAAATCTGAAACCAAGTTTAGATTTTTGTAAAAACCAAGCATTTAAAAACTATAAGAACAACCCAAATACTTGTATTTTAGCTCATTCCAATGTAAGAAGTTTATCTTTTTAAAAAACAAACATTGCTGTCTACTGTTTGCACTCTCCATTTTGCAGCATTGTGCTAGTACAGCACTTGAAAGTGAAATTGACTTGAAACTGGCTATAATAAAACATGAAACTGACCAGTCTTATTTTCAGTATTCAGACTGAGAGAGAAGGGGGAGGGGGAAGAGGCAGGCAGCAAAACTGGATAAAGGTAAATGAGTTAAAAAAAATCTTTTTAAGAAATCTAAGGCATTATTTGTAACAGAGAGAAGGATTTTTTAGAAAAATGTGTGATTTTTAACCTGTCAGTTAAAATAGACAGTATTTATATAGAACCTACACCAAACCAACATGTATTTCTATTAAGTAGTTCCATGCCTGGCAGCCTCCAGTATAATTTTCTCTATTAGAAGCTGAATCTTTTCTTTATGATTGTGGTTCAGGCCCTATTCAGTTTCCTCTGAGTGTGATGACGTGTGATCTTCTCTTTTCACACTTATGAACACATCTGATACCATCTGGACAGAAACAACAATCCCACTTAAACCTGTGGTCCTCTTTCCAGAACTCCTGTGTCCATCACTGCTCAGGGTGAGGCGATTCCCCCGTCCTGATGACTCGCTACCACTATAGAATTTTTGGTGTATTGTTTTGTTTCATGGAAGGATTCTGGGCCTGTTATAATGGGGATGTGAGGGAGAAACAGAGACACGACCCAAATATAATTGGCAGAGGTGAGATATGAACTCACAAGAGACATATGGAAAAACTGGAGACAGAGGGGTCTAGCTTATGTCTCACCTGTTTCTTTTGGGGAGTGAGCAATAAAATGGAGCTAAATGAAGAATTCTCTATTCCCTACAAGGTGTGGTGTGTGAATCCATTTCTGTCTTTACCGATTGGCTGAACACCTCACAATCTCTTTACTCTCATGACATCTCTGGGCGGTAAGGAAGTACCACTATCCGCATTTTACACCTGGAGAACCGAGGCACAGAGAGATCCAGTGACTTTATTAGAAGTTTGTGGCAGAGGAGGAGCCCGAAGCCTAATCCCCAGAGTCCCATGATGTATTCTAACCACTGGCCCATCCTTCCTCTCTTGGTAGATCTTTGTAGGTTTCTGTCTCAGTTGGTGGCATTCTTCACTGAGCCACTAACACGGTGTTGAGTGGCAATGGGTGTCTGGAGAGGTCTTTGAGATGACACTTACAACAAATGTCATAACCACTTGGAACTCAGTAGAAGTAGAGGTGTTAGATTTGATGGCCTGGACAAATCATAGATTGGGTGCTTATGGTGTTCCTACCTATGCTTCCTTTGTAGATTCATCAGGAAAAGGGTCTTTTCTGTTTCCTCCTCAAACACCTCTTCGGTGCTGCTGCTCACTTTTACAGAGTTGTTGTGGCTAAACACTAGTTGCTGAAGTTATCATTGGCTTGACTCTACCAATCTCCGCAGCACTGAGCCCCATGCATAGTTGATATACCAGGTCTCACAATGTTGTGTAATCCTTTGGGCCATTGTTGAGATCTGACCTATGGAGTATGGGTCGTTTGCATATGCAGTTATGACAGTTGCATGCATGATCACATGTGAGAAGTGCAGGGATTTTTTTATAGATATACCTTAATAATCCTAAATACGTAGGGACAGATCCAGTTCCCACTAAAGTCAATTGGGAGTCCCTTTGGCTGATTTTCATATGTGCCAGATTGGGCTCCGACAGAACATTGCAAGTATAAGGGCCACTATCTTGCACAAAGCTAGGGATGGCACTGCGGACCTCTAGAGCTAAGAGCGTGAGTGCCAATAGCTTGATCCAGGCTCTGTAACAGAATCACACCCTCTTTGGATCAAACAAACAGACCATGGGTTATGTATTGAAGAAGCTTGTCCCAAGCATCTGAGGCCTGCAGGAATTTGAACCCAGACAAGCCGCCACTGGCTGTAACCCAAGAACCTACAGGCCTCAAGCCTGTGTGACAATTAGCTTAGCATAACTAAGGCCGAGCTTGACATGAATAGTTTGTAATAAGGAGCTAACTGATAAAAAGACCCTAAGTCACAACCTTAGTATGATAGTAACCAAAAGTATTACAAGTTGGGAAAAGGTGACATATGGAACCACGAGAATATACTTTTGGAAATGTAGGGCAAATTTAAAGGATGTTGAGCTTATTCAAAACTTACATGTACTAGTCTCATGTTTCATACTAGATATACCATAGCAACTAATTGACATAAATGCTAATGAGTATGTCATAAATGACCAAGTGACCTATTGAAGCAAGGGACCCCAATGTTACTGAGGGGTGGAATTACGTTTCAGGAAAGGAGGTTGAACCCATCATTAAATATGTATAAGGCCTGGTGGGTGTCAGCCTAACCCCGTGTGAAAGGTGGTACCCAGCCTGGGGGCAGTGGGACCCATCGGAACACATTGGCCTGATGATCACATTGGGATCACTGCATCTACTTCAGGGTTCCCACAAGGGATGATGTGAGTAACACAGCGCAAGTATTGGACATGCTGTATTGGCGGTCTCCTTTGCTGTATTACGGTGTTTGCAATTCTATTTTGCTAATCATAGAATATTAGGGTTGGAAGAGACCTCAGGAGGTCATCTAGGCCAATCTCCTGCTCAAAGCAGGACCAACACCAACTAAACCATCCCAGCCAGGGCTTTGTCAATCCAGGCCTTAAAAACTTCTAAGGATGGAGATTCCACCATATCCCTAGGTAACCCATTCCAGTGCTTCACCACCCTCCTAGTGAAATTGTGTTCCCTAATATCCAATCTAGACCTCCCCCACTGCAACTTGAGACCATTGCTTCTTGTTCTGTCATTTGCCACCATTGAGAACAGCCAAGCTCCATCCTCTTTGGAACCCCCCTTCAGGTAGTTGAAGACTGCTATCAAATCCCCCCTCACTCTTCTCTTCTGCAGACTAAATAACCCCAGTTCCCTCAGCCTCTCC